AAAATGCCAAACTGTTTTTCATAGAAGCTGCACTATTTTATATTCCTACCAGCAATGTATCAAGGTTCCAATCTTCATGTCCTTGTTGACGTTTTGTATTGTTTCTGTTTTTGATTATAGCATTTTAGTGGTTTTGATTTGCATTTTGATTATGCCGTTTCATTATGGTTTTGATTTGTATTTTCCTAATGATTGATGGTGTTGAGCATCCAACATCATGAAAATTTCATGTTTGTTTTCTTTGAGGAGTTTTTAGATCTTTGGTCCATTTTGAGTTAATTTTTGCGTGTGTTATAAGGTAGGAATCCAACGTCATTCTTTTGCATGTAGATAGCCAGTGTCCCAGAACCATTTTTTGAAGACCACTCTTTTCCCCATTGAATTGTCTTAGCACCCTTATCAGAAATCAATTGTCTATATAAACATATGGGTGCTACTGAAAGGATCTTGTGCCAGAATATAAATCAATGAACTATTCCTCTCGTAGGTAAAGTCTCACTAGGAAAAGAAAACAGCTTAGCGACTGATGGATTGATTGATTTCCTGGAACAAGCTCATCTCCTTATGGTCTGGTCACAGTTTACTAACCAGCAAATATTCGTAGACCACATTTTCAGTAGCACTGCTCTAGATCTTTTCTACCTTAAGTGTCGCTGGTCTGACCAGGAGCATCCCAGGCCCTATCCCAGAGCCACTGGATTAGAATCTATTTTTAAACAGAATCCCCAGGTGGTTCATATGCATATTAAAGTTTCACTGCACTGCTCTAGAATAAGATTCTAAGTGACTTTTAAAGATCTAGTCAAGTAAGTACAGGATCAATTAAAGAGTAGGACCTGGGAAAGGGAGAGTAAATGTGAGGATAAGCAAGAGAATTTCTGGAACTTCTTATGTAGCAGAAACGCACATGCGCCCCAGGTACCTTGGCCGTGGGTAGAACTCCAGGGCCAGCCGAGATCTCAGAGTGTTTCTTTTCACTGCTGCCCTGGACCTGATAGTTTTTGTTTGCCTGTGAAGAACTCCTTGAAGAGAGTTAGCTATAAAGGAAATTTAGAGCTATAGAGAAAAAAGGGGGAAGGAATAGCAAGGCAGAAGACACTTTTACAAAGCAACTTTGGGAGGGATAAACTCATTCCAGGCCTTAGAACTGCATCTTTAAGAAGAAGCTGAAATTTGGTTAAAAGCGTCTATGGAACCCATAGTGTGATTCTAGAAGTAGGCAGCAATAGTGCTGAGTCATAAAATCAGCAAACATTGAATATTTGAATGGAGGGTCAAACAAGTTAATATACCTCTTTGAAAACTTATATATGTATGCAAATGCAAGCACAATGAGAATGGGGAATTTGCAGGTATTATGCTGACATTGCAAGGAAGGGTGGCCTGAGCAAATGATTAGTAAATTAGTTCTGTGCAATATTTATTTTTACTATTTTGAGGTGAGTGGTATTATTGATATGCTATTTAGAATGCTCTCTTCTTTGTTCTCTTGAACATAAATATAAAGGTTTTTAGAGATGTATTTATAACTTGAGTCTTCCATTTCCTTCTAAGGCCTTAAGATTCCTAGGTAGGAATTTTCCTGCTGCAGGGGCTTTGAAGTTGGGGATAGAATATTATTCTGTGCTGCAAGCATCATTAACTAGGACCCCAGATAAACTTGAAGTTTGTAATAATCTATAGGATCTGAGTTGAAGGCCTGATTTTCAAATAGTAGTTTTTGCATGTGTTTATGAAAAAAGGTTTTCAGTACTTCAAGCAGTTAAATATGATAGTTAGTATGCTAACTATAAACCACTTTAAATGTCTGTTTAGTAAAGCAGGTCTTCTAAATAACATGTTAACATTGTTTAATGTTAATTTAAAAATAAAGTTTAAAATGACAACGCAAGCTCTTTAGATTTACACTGTTTAAATCATATGATATAAACTGATCTATAGTTTAACTGAACATTTCCCACTCCCCTAAAACTCAGGGTTCTTTTTTTAAAGCATGTATGTTTATTTTTATTTTTTAAATTAAATTAATTGGGGGTGACATGGGTTAATAAAATTATATATGCTTCAAGTGTACAATTTTATAATACATCATCTATATATTGCATTGTGTGTTCACCACCCAAAGTCATATATTTGACCTCAAAGTCAAAACTCGGGTTTTGACGTATCCTCACCATATAGACTTTTATCCCAATACTCCAAATACTGATTGTAGCCAAGGGCATCAAAGCATCGTCCCCACATCCTGTCTTTTCCTGAGTAAACAGATGGTAACTGAGACATCCCTCATGTGGGTTCCATCACTTTATGTCCAGTCTGTTTTGTAATCCTGGGGCTGGTCTTCTAACTAAAACCAGGGAAAGGTGGGACATCCTCTTGCCTGTTGCTGCTGAGAACCGATGCCACTGTACCGTAAATGCAAGTCAGTCTCAATTTGCAGCAAGATTTTCTCTTGACCTTTTCTACGTATCACAGCCATTCAAACAGATCTCCTCTATCCATCATAAACCAGTGATGTAAGTTTATTCTAAAACCTGAGAGGTTGCTGCATCACCAAGTCATTAAAAGTCATAGCCTCCCTCCAAAGAGGTGATCTTTTCTGCATGGGTATATCTCAGCATCTCTGCAGAAGACCAAATGAACAGGAATTGGAGCTTGAATTCATTGCAGACATCTCGGCAAACTGCTCTAGGATGCCATCTGCAGATGGTAACTGTCCAGATTGGACAGTTAGCTCTTGACCTCCTCTTGGCTCCACCAAATGCTTTTTATTTTCCTTCTAGATTCTTTATTATTTCTTTTGGGGTGAGACCAACTCAAGAGGCAACACTGCTGATTCTTTTTCACAGTTAGATGTAGAAACATTAGTCTTTCATTCCTCCTTGTGGGCATTTGGAGGACATGATCTTCTGTGCATTTTGGTGTCCCAGAACTTCTCTCTAATTCTTCCTACTTCCAGGACTGTGTAAATGGAAACAAATTCTAGAAGAGTTGATAATAAGACTGAAAAGCAGAGAGAATGATAGATAGTTCACTAAAATATGAGTCTCTTGCAGAAACTTGAACTCTAGAGACTGCTTTTTTGTCTCATTATCTCTCTTGTCTGTTATATCTAAAGCAGTTGTTCTAAGACTTTTTTTTTTTTTTTTTTTAGCTGAGCCATCCCGCCACCTGTTGGCAGCTCACGGCTGCTCAGCTCGGGCTGACTCAAACTGCTGTTGCTCAGAGCTCAAACTCTTGAGCGAGCTCTTAACCAACTGAGCCACTCGGCCGGCCCTGTTCTAAGACTTTTATTTCTCTCATCAAGCTTCTTATTCCTTTACAGTTGATTATTTTGCCCGCTACCAAAAACGGAACAGTAGGTCTGAACTCACTCAAATTCCCTTTTTTCCCAGCCCTAAACCAATATGCATATACATTTTTATTTCCTTCTTGCCAGGAAAGAAATATCTTTCCCAGACCAGTCCCTTTAACAGTGCTTTGAATCCTCCCCTCTTTTATCTATAGGACTTTTTTTCATCAGTTACCCTCAGCCTCTCTCTCCTGTATCTTAAAGCTTTCTTCTCCTGGCTTCTTCCACTGTCCAGTGCTTAATTCTGTTCCATACTAAAAATTCTTTCCCTCAGTGCTATTCCTCTCTTAAGCACACAATGTTCTGAAAGAGTAATGTATGGTCGCTGGCTGTACATATTCAACTCCCATTCTTTGCAAGTCCAATTCCATTCTCACCCCCATTCCATCCTTTCTCTGAAACTGTCCTTGCATAGATCTCCAGCGACTTCCCCATTGCCAGTCGCAGTGGTCACATTTCTACCTTTGGTCTACCTTTCTGAGGCAATAGCCATTCTTAACCCTTCACTCAGAGGAAGGTTCTAATAAGTTTTAACTTTTTTTAAAATGCGTTTTCACTTTAATGCATAGGGTTCAGTTGTGTTCATTTGATAATGTGAGGCTTCTTGTTTTGGTATGTGATTTCAGATTAAAAGAGACTTTATTTATTACTTTAAATAACAAAATCTCCAGTTAGTGCAGCGGTAGTTACTATCCTATGGTCCAAACTGTCACATATGTATGATGACTCTTACAGAAACACATATTTTCCACACCCTTTTTATTAAACAAAAGTAAAATAATTTTTAAAAACTAGTTAAAAAAACAAAACCTTACTTTATGCAAAAATCCTATTAACTTGGCTAGCTCACTTTTTGCTCACTAATGACCTTGGATTTCGATCATAATCATTACAAAGATAAACCTCTATGGATGTTGAAATAACTATGCCAGGGTGTGAGGCAACTTCCAGTGCCTCCCTGGGTCCTGACACAAAATTAATTCCACAAGCACCCCTGAGAGATCGTACGCAGTTCCAGCCAGAGAGCGGGAAACATGACCCATCTTATTTATATCCCAGCTGGTTGGCTTGAAAGTCTTAATTACAAGTAAAATGCTTCGGTCCAGATGCCATTGTAGTCCCTTCAAAACTAAAAACAGTTCTTTTCACATATTTCCTAAAGGTAGAAAAACAGTATGAACTCAGTTTAAGGCCAAGGTGAATTCACTTGAGTCCCTGCAATCGGGAAAAAATCATCAGTTTCACTTTTCTGAATTCAACATTCACATATTTAAATAGCTCATGCTGGCTCTCTCCTCTTAGCCCCTTTGCAGTGAGTCTGGAAATGGGGATCTTTGCTTCTGGTTACATGGAGCACTGATGCAGCGAGCAAGAAGGCGCAGCCCCTGTCCATTGGGTTCAAGAATTTAGTTTAGGAGAGTGCTGTGGTTTAGTAGGGTTGTAGAATTGCTATTGAAGATCTGGCCAGGAATCTCAGAGACCACCGGATATCTGCTCTGGACCCCGTTCCTTTGTCTTCTCTCCCCCCACTGTTAGTGTTGTCTCTGTGTATGTAAATTATCTGTGCTCACAGAACTGACTGCCTCGTTCTGTTCTGCCTCTACCGGTGTCTGTAACTAATAATGTATTTCTCAACTCGTCTTCACAGAGGGACCTGTCAGGACACAAGAACATTGTGGGTTACATCGACTCCAGTATCAACAATGTGAGTAGCGGTGACGTATGGGAAGTGCTGATTCTGATGGACTTCTGTCGGGGTAAGTATTTGAACTGTGTCCCAAGCTCTCATGTCACTAGCACTTTGATTATTGAGGGCATGGTGGTCATCTCACTTAATTTGCCCTGTACCCTAATGTATGTTGTTCTGGTTTTAAAGATTGGAAAACGAAGAGGCTAAAAGATACAGAGCCTGCTATCCATCACCCCCTGGTTATTCTTATAGGGGCAAGGATCAGTGGCACAAACAGGCCACAGTGGTAGATAATACAAAACTCCAGTTTTGTTAGCTTCAGGAAGGTTTGGTGCTTGTATGAGAATGGGAATGTATGCGTTCTTTGTGATGCTTTAAAACAAACGATGAAGGCACATATAATAAAGACCCAACTCCAGATGGACTAAAGGAACAATCCGGCTTCCCCACTCCCTCACTCATGTGTTCTCTTCCCCACCCACTCCACCATCCTTGTGTTATGGGGTAAAAGAATCCTTCGCGTCTAATGGAAATGACCTTCTTCCCCTTGGCTCAAGAGCTGTTGGGTTGTCAGAAAAGTCATGACGCATTTTTGCAATGAAAACAGAGAAAATACGTCATGACTTTTCCGACAACCCAATATCATTGCCGATAAGGTTACATTCAAACCATGCTGCTGCTAATAGTGGAGTTAGTTAGTTAAAATCATGGAGTTTCAAGCTCTATTTTATCTTGGGACATCTAGACTGTGGCATAATTTATTCAGAGTTGACTATATTTCATACAACCATTGTTTGGAGATTCGGCTTTTTTGGCCTAAGCAGCTGCCACTTAACAGCTTGAGTCACTGTCTCACCATTTTATAGTCACCCTTAATTCCACTGAGTTTCCTTGCCTTTAAAGATACCTGTTCATAAATTAAATATGTTGCTAACCCCCAAAATGTGATGTTAACCAGCAATGCCAGCCTTTATTGGAATAACTGTTAACCTGATTTTGTAAAATACTACCAAATTTGACCTTGACAGTATGTTTTCTCCTGCCCATTTTTCTTTGGACAGTAAAATGTTTAGAGACGAGGCAGTGGAAGCATCCAGGGATCTGGCTAATTCTGTAAGTGAGGCTGTCAGTCTCAGTCCTGGAGATTAAATGTTGGTATAGTATGTCTCCAGACCAGGCAGAGCAGTGAAGCCAGAGAGACCAGGCTGTTCCCAAAGTAGAGACTATAACGCCTTCTCCTGGGGTCTGTTGTGCAGCTGGGTGCTTACTAACAGATACTGCAAGTTGAGCCCGTGACCTTGTCTCATATCCAGCAGGGACGGTTTAACCAGGCAGCTAAGGGCGGGACCACTGTCATTTCTACAAATAATCTTGAAGACATAATGAGGGCAGCTCACGTCTGGGGTGCTTTGTTAAATAAGGTCACTGTTTTTGATGCATTAGAGGAAGGCCTGGATTCTGAGAAAACGAACCCCAGGCTGGGAATCAGGACACCTGGGTTTTATCCCTGGCTCAGTGAGTGATTACCGAGCTCCATTGGCTTCGTCCAGGATGCTCTGTGGACAGCCATTCATTCGCTCGGGTAAGTGACGCTTCTGAATGTTTACACCCTCTCCTTCGCTCTGTCCCCCTCTCAGGAGGCCAGGTGGTCAACCTGATGAACCAGCGCCTGCAGACAGGTTTTACAGAGAATGAAGTGCTGCAGATATTTTGTGACACCTGTGAAGCTGTCGCCCGCCTGCATCAGTGCAAGACTCCTATTATCCACCGTGACCTGAAGGTAACAGACCACACTGTCTCGTTAAGTGTATTCTTACAGAGTATTTTCTACCTGCCCCAGGGATGAGGCGCAGACTCATGAGGTGGGGACGTGAGAGAAGTTTGAGGCATGGTCCCAAATTCTAAGCTTACGTTCTGCTTGAAGAGAGAAAATACAAAGGGGAAAAAAGAAAGAACAGTATAGTACAGGTATCAATTTCATGACTTAAGTAGCCTTCAGAAATTCTTTATAATCATCAAACGCCTGAACACATTTTTTTTCCCCCTGATTATACTCCCAAATTCACTTTTCCAGGGTCATGAAAAGTAATGTGCTGATTTAGATAGTTTCTAAACATTGATGCTTGGTCTTTAAAGTCTATTTCATAGTTTTCAAAATTCATTAATTGATTCTTTTTAATATTTATTCCACCAATTACCATCTCCTTGCACTGGCGTTTTCATATTATAGTCACTTGACGATGTTTGTTCAGTGGAATTGGCACCCAGTTAGGATTTGCTAGCATTTATGGAGCATTGACTGTCTGCCATGCACTCTACTAGACACTGTATGTACAAGACCTCTTTGGAGGGAAACATTTTTTACATTTTATAATTGGGGAAACTCAGGAGTAGAGACGTACGTGACTTGCCTAAGATCATATAACTAGGAAGGAGCAATCTCAGAATTCTGATTCTAAATTACAATTTCTTTTCATTATGCCTGTGTTTCACGAAATGTGCTTCATGGCTAATAACTTACATCAGCATCCCCTGGTGTGTTTGTTAAGTGCAGGCTGCTGGATTCCACACCGAATCTGTTGGGCTATAATTTTGGTGGTGGTGTCAGAGCGGTCCAGGAATTTATATCTTTATAAGCACCCCAAGTGGTTTTTGTATATTTTAAAGTTTGAGGATCACAGCAGCCTACTGGCATTTCTCTTTTGAGGTTTTGGTGGGGGTTTTTTCTGTTTGTTTTTCTTTTTTTTAAATTGAGATATAAATCGCATACCATAAAATTCACCCTCTGAAAGTGTATAATTTGGTGGCTTTTAGTATATTTACAAGGTTGTGCAACCATCATCACTATCTAATTCCCGAACACTTCATCACCCCCCAAAGAAACCCTGTATCCATTAACAATCACTCCTCATTCCCCTTCTTCCAGCCACTAATCTACTTTCTATTGCCTCTTCTGGACATTTCATGTAAATGGGCTCATACAGTATATGACCTTGTGTCTGACTTCTTTCACCTAGAATAATGTTTTCAAGGTTCATCTATGTTGCAGCATGCATCGGTACCTCATTCCTTTTCGTGGCAGGATATTCCGTTGTGTGGCTATACCACATTCTGTTTATCCATTCACCAGTTGATGGACATTTGAGTTGTTTCCACTTTGGCTGTTATGAATAAGGCTACTGTGATCTCCCATATACTGGGTTTTATGTAGGCATATGTTTTCAGCTCTCTTGGGTGTATACCTAGGTGAGAAATTGCTGGGTCATATGGTAACTGTGTTTAACTTTTTAAGGAATTGTCAAACTGTCTTCCAAATTGGCTGCACCATTTTACATTCTACCAACAGTATAGGAAGGTTCCAGTTTCTCCACATCCTCACCAATCTTTGTTATTGTCCTTTTTTAGTTTGCCCATCCCTCGTGAGTGTGAAGTGATGCATATATACTGGCATTTCTGTACTAAAGCAGTTAGCTTTCAGGAAGATAGGGACATACCCCCCAAAGCCTTAGACATTCTTCTCCAGTGTACCTCTGCCCATAGTCAGCCCTTTTTCTGAGTAGAAAAAGGAGAATACATCTCAATAGATATGAGCCTAGCACAGTATAAGTACATAAATCTCAAGATGTTTCAAGTATTGGTGAGAGGATGTAAATTAAATATTTACACTTGAAACCGAAATAGGTGAACTATAAAACTTTATAGAACAAAGTGATGAATAGATGAAAACCAAGTGGCTTAATGTATGATCAGATAGTGAGATCAGGCAGTAGTGGTTAGAATCTTCTGGAAAAGTGGGATTTCAAAGTACTAGCGGGCTATAGATGGTCACAGAGAGGATGAAGGACACATTTCAGGCAGAGAGCAGAGCTTGAGGGATGCCTAGAGAAGGGAACGACAAGGTGTTGGAGGATGAGGAGGTAGGGCAGCATGCAGATCAGGCCACAGTGACACAGGCCCCTGCTCTGAGTATGCATTTACACTGTATTCAGTTGTTGCCTTTAATGATGAGTGACATTCTTGGGCCTGTTAATATACATTTCAAAATAAGCAGTGGCAACAAAATTTTAGGAGCTGACCACCCGCCCTGCTGCCTGCCTTGGAGAAGAGTTTGTGAGGGGCAGAGAAATAGGGGAGGGGCATGGCCGGGCAGCCCCAGCACTGGTCTGTGAGTGTAGGGGCTCTGTTTCTGTGAACTGTATCAGCTCTGGCCTCTCTCGAGCCCCTTTCCACACACCCCCCTCATCCCCCCATGTCAGATGGAGTTCAATTTCATATTGGAACTCCTGACGCGGTAGCACTCATGCTGTGACTTGTACCAACAGAGTTATAAGTGCAGTGGGAGATGAACACGCAGTGTTTGCATTGCTGGATGCGGACACTTTTCAGTCCCTGGCTTATTCTCCTCCTGTGGTCTCTGACTCCTTTCTGACTCTCCTTCCTTGACCTCGGTGACACCATGCTCTCCCTGGCTTCTCTTCATCAGCCTCTGAGCCTCGGGTTCTTCATCTGTGAAGTGGAGACACAATGCCAGCTTTGTTAGGGTCGAGATAGGATTAAATGAGAGCATGCATGTCACTGTCAGGCATATCCCCTGCCCAGTAAGTCCTGAGAGGGCACGGAGGTGACAGCAAGGGGCGGAGAAGAGAGGCCCTCAAACATCCTTTACAGAGTGCTATTCCTGGGTTCTTAAACAAAACTCTTCCTTTATTTTAACTTTTTAAACATTTATTGGGTTAAATGAGGCCAAAATGATCATCATTTTATACCCATAAATAGTACCTCCCCAGTTGACATATCCCCAGCATATCATTGCCGTGTGGTGTTCACAGTGCTACCGAGAGGTGGTGGGCAGTCATCACCCGGTGATGGGAACCTGAGGCCCAGAGCCCAGTGTCTCCTGTGGGGACTCGGAGCAGGTCAGTGCTTGGGATCAAGCGGCAGCAGGAGCCCCAGACTCTCCGTTCACTGGACTGAACAGCCCATGAGACGTCTCAGCAGAGGGACAGTGAGCAAAGTGGAACGGGAGGGTGAGGCCGCACCATGAGCAGGAGGCTGCCACGTTCCGTTCCCCAGCCTGCCCCCAGCCCTGTCCCCTGCCTCTCCTCAGTGTTCCTGGGAGGCAGCGCGGCGCTGAGCACGGTGTTGGGTCTGTAGTTGTGTTTTAATCCATACTGAAGACCATTGGTTATGCTGCGGGACACCTGGTAGTGGTTCCCTGTCTCCTCTACCTTGGAAGCAGGGACTGTAAGCAGGGGCCCCTGGGAGGAGGCCTTGATTGTGATTGTTCCAAGGAGCCCTGTGGCTGTTGCTTTTAGCTGCGAACTCCTGGTGGTTTTGATGACGCCTTCCACAGCTCCCCACGTCTTACAGTCAGTGCCATCTGTTTATAGATGCTTTCCTTAGCATGCTAGATTTTGTTGATTCCTATTAGCATGTGCACAGTGGCAGTTACCTTTACCTGCTGCACTGCCGCTGCCTCAGGCATGAGGGAAAAGTCCCCACATATCTCCTGTTTGCCCTGGGGTGTCGCTGTATATCACATAGCCTGGGCCACTCTGAGCTGTGTCACCACTGGAACCAGCCACCGCAGTCCCAGTGGTAGCCAGAGCCAAGAAGTTCTTTCTTCTCCTGTTGCCCAGAGGAAGTGCTGGTTGCTGGTCTCTTGGTCGCTTCTCTGCGAGCAGGATTTCCTTTGGATGAGGAGGCACCATTGCGAATAAAGCCAGTGGGACGCCAGAAGGAGAACAGGCCAGGCCAGCTGTGGACTCCCTTCTTAAGCCCGTGCCACCCTAACGGGGGTCTGCTTGTTCACGTGCAACACTGAGAAAAACCCCTCTCGCTCTGCCCTCTGGATGTATGGTCTTTATTTCAAATCACATACAGGAAATACGTACGTAAGTGCTCCTGGTTCTTAAGCAGCTCATGGTCTAAAAATAACCAGAACAGAAGAGCTGTTCTTCAAGGAAGGGCCTTCCTCAAATACATTATTTTAGCATTTTGATTATTTCTCCCATTTACAAATGTTTACTTCTCTGAGGGAAGATAAGAGATTATTATTACAGATCATGGGGTCGTAGACTGAAAAGGTCATCTGAACCAGCCCTCTCCTTTGACCAATGAGGCGACCTCTGTCCAGAAAGGCTGTGACCTGCACAGCTCACTCAGTGATCAAACCACAACAAAGGCTGAGGTTTTTTTACTCCCATTTTGGTTTCGGTTTGTTTCATTTTGTTGTATTGTACCATGCTGTTTGTCCCAGCACTTAAGAATGGGGATAAAGGGTTAAGACTTAATAGTTGAAAACGTCATGATCTCTCTTTTGTCAGAAAGAGAGTTTGATCTCATGAAGTATACAATAGGATGAAGATTCTTATTTTTAGAATCGCGGGTTTGAAAACCTGCATTCCTCTAACCCTCCAGAATTTCCAGTGGGAATAAATTCTGTGACTTAAATGCCTGAATGCCATCTCTGTACGAAATAATGTCAAGGTGAAGAGGTCAGTAGGAGATGGCTTTCCAGACCTTTTAGCTAAAGCTATAAGCAGAATTTGGGAGTGACAGTTTTAATAATACGCTTAAGCCAATAGGTTGGGAAGTAAGGTCAGTGGTAATTAAGCTCTCAAAGAGCAGAAAGATTTAAGGATTGTAAGCACCGGTAACCAGTGTTAGGCTTACATCCTAAAAGGGACATTGCCAAAAACAAAATCACTGTGCAAATTATCTGAAGGTTTCAGAAGAGGCTGTCAGAATATATCCAGTTGGTTCTCTGTCTTCCTCATC